ATCTCTAAGTCAGAAGTGAGTGAAGTCTGTGAGACTGGAAAACTTAGGTCTGTAACTTGGAAGGGGTTATATTTACTTACACTTTATAAGAGGCTCTTTTTTTTTTTTTTTTTTTTTTTTTTTAATTTAAAAATTTATGTGAGACAGAGCTCCCACCTACCAGTTCACTTCCCAAATGCCCACATCAACTGGAGCTGGGCCAGGCTGAAGCCGGGAACCTGAGACTCAATCCACTTGGGTGGCAGGGACCCAAGTACTTGGAGCCATCACCTATTGTCTGCTGGGGTATTCTTTAGCAGGAAGCTGGAGTCAGGAGCTGGAGCTGGAATTGAGCCCACGATGATGTGGGCTATGGGCTTCTTAACCACTAGGCCGAATGCCTGCCCCCAGATCTTTGCAAGCTGCATCATAGTGCTTAAGTACAAACACGCTGTGACACTCCCACATTGGTCTTCCTCAGCAAATGGCTCATAGTTTTTCACAGGATTACGTTTTCACACTGCAAGTTATTCTGAGGAAATAAATAGAATTAGCAAATATCACGTTCATTTCTAGAGAATGCTAGAGTGATGATACTTTGTAGAATTTTTTTTTTTCTAATGAAAGATATGTCTCGGGCCAGTGCAAGGTGAAGGTTTGGCCACCACCGGCAGTGCCTGCGTCGCATGTGAATGCCATTTCAAGACCCGACTGCTCCACTTCCAGTCCAGCTCCCTACTAATAAACTTGGGAAAGCAGTGGAAGATGGGCCCTAAGTTTTCCTTGGGCCCCTGCACCCATATGGGAGACCCGGAAGACGCTCCTGGCTCCTGACTTTGGCCCTGGCCCAGCCTTTGCTGTTAAGACCAACTGGGGAGTAAACCAGCAGATGGAAGATCTCTCTCTCTGTCTTTCAAATAAATAAATCTTTTTTTTTTTTTAAAGATTTATTTGAAAGAGTTATACAGAGAGGAAAGAGAGGTAGAGAGAGGTCTTCCATCTGATGGTTCACTACCCAATTGGCCACAACCGCCAGAGCTGTGCCAATCTGAAGCCAGGAGCCAGGAGCTTCTTCTTGGTCTCCCACGTGGGTGCAGGGGCCCAAGGACTTGGGCCATCTTCTACTTTCCCAGGCCATAGCAGAGAGCTGGATTGGAAGTGGAGAAGCTGGGACTCGAACTGGTGCCCATATGGGATGCCAGTGCTTCAGGCCAGGGCATTAACCCGCTGCGCCACAGCACCAGCCCCAATAAATCTTTTGTAAAAATGCATATCTTCCTTGATCATAGTCTTAAAATCCTGGTGACATTTCTATGACATTGTTATTGCTCCTACTAACTATATATAGGAAACTCTGAAAGCAAGTTCAGTGTAAACTCTTTTAAGAGTATCAATTCTTAGGGCAGGTGTTGTGGTAGAGCGGGTTAAGCTGTTGCTTGGGACGCCTGTATCCCATATGGGAGTGTAGGTTTGAGTCCCAGCTTTCCACTTCTGATCCAGCTCCTTGCTAACACACCTGGGAAGCAGCTGATGATGACTCAGATGCTTGGGTTTTTGCCATGCACGTGGGAGACCTGGATGGAGTTGCAGGCTTCTGGCTTTGGCCTGATCCAGCCCCAGCTGCTGCATGCATGTGGGGAATGAACCAGCAGATAGGAGTTCTCTCTCTCACACTTGCTGTCACTCTCTTTCTCACTTTCTGTCACTCTACCTCTCAAATAAATAAATAAATACATCATTTAAAAAATGTTCACCTGAAATGCTGTAGACAACAATAGGAATGTAGAGTGATGGCTTACCACTCCTTTCTTGATCCAGCAGATATTCTTTGAACTTGCCCCTTTATTTAGAGTATGAGAAGAGAATGGAATCTATTTTTAAAAAAGAAAAAGAAAGGGGGGGCCAAGGAAACCCTCTACATGGTAGTGTTTACAGATAGCTGGAAATGGATGGAGAAAAGAATTGATAGGCCTTGTGAAGAAGCAACTGTTCTTATCTTAATTTAATTTTTTTAAGATTTTTTTTTTTTAATTTATTTGAAAGAGTTACACAGGGAGAGGAAAGGCAGAGAGACAGAGAGAGGGGTCTTCCATCCGATGGTTCACTCCCCAGATGACCGCAATGGCTGGAGCTGTGCTCATCCGAAGCCAGGAGTTGGAGCCAGGAGCTTCTTCCAGATCTCCCATGTGGGTGTAGGGGCCCAAAGATTTGGGCCATCTTCTACTGCTTTCCCAAGCCATAGCAGAGAGCTGGATTGAAAGTGGAGCAGCCGAGTCTCGAACCGGCGCCCATATAGGATGCCGGCACTTCAGGCCAGGGTGTTAATCTGCTGCGTCACAGCGCCGGCCCCTTAATTTTGTTTCTTAAGATTTATTTATTGGGCCCTGCACCCACGTGGGAGACCCGGAAGAAGCTCCTGGCTTCAGATTGGCGCAGCTCCAGCTGTTGCGGCCAATTGGGGAGTGAACCAGCGGATGGAAGACCTTTCTCTCTCTCTCTCTGCCTTTCTCTGTAACTCTGTCTTTCAAATAAAAAAAAAAAGTTAAGTTTATCTTAGTGTAAAAAAAAAAAAAAGAAATCCATGCATTATTTTCCATAATACACATTATGCAGCTTCATTTGAAGACCTATTGTGCAACATGATGGTGGAGTAGAGTGTCCTATGGCCTCCTGTGCTTTGTGGCTCTCCTTAATATTATGAGAAGTTTAAAAATATAACACTTGCTTTATACTTGAGGTGAGATGAGAAGAAGAAAATAGTAATGAGAAAGACTCGCAGGAGTGAGATCACTCATGTTCTTCAGCTTTTGCTGCAAAGACAGAGCCAACACCACTAAGTTTAGCAGGCACCGTCCCTGACCCTCCACGGGAGGGACGCAGTCCTGCACGAGGACATCTCCTGGTTTAACTCCAGAGCCCTTTGAAGCTTCTGAATCCAGCAGAACCCAGCGTGCAGTTCTGGGAGTTGCTGTTCCAGTGATCCTCTGAGAGTGTTCCCATTTCTTCTGCATACAGAAGAAAATCAAAGGAAAAAGGCTTTATTGGCTCTTGTCAGGACAGAGCCTGGCTGAAGTGAAGAAAGCATTGTTACTTAACTTATCTAACAGTTTAGGATTTAGTGCTGGCAGGTTACATGGAGATGTTGTCAAATACAGAACATTTCCAGAGAGCTGATCGAGAATGTAGATTAGCATTTTCCACGCTTCTTTTCTTATGCAGGATGATGCAATGTTTATTCCTCGCTTTAGTTTCTCCCATCGTCTAGAGCCGTTGAAAAACAAGGTTGACTAGCCTGGAAGCAGATGTTCCTGATCGAGACATTGCTAGTCTCGAACCAGTTAAACCATTTAATGGAGAGTGGGTGGAGAAAAAACAACATAAGAGGCAAAATCCGTTCATAGGGCCAAAGTTTCATTTCAGTGAGTTCAGATAGAGTTTGTTTTTATATTTTTAACATTAGCTTCTTTTTCCAAAATGAGTTGTGTATATCTACTTAATGTCAAAGAAGATATTAAATTTAGAAGGTGTGAGAAGGTGTGACTTTGGGAATATAGATTCCTTTTTTCTGTTTATAGATATTTGAAAGACATTTTTTCTTATTTTTTTTCAAGATTTATTTTTTATTTATTTGAAAGACAGAGTTACAGAGAGAGGTAGAGACAGAGAGAGAGGTCTTCCATCCGCTGGTTCACTCCCCAGATGACTGCAACAGCCGGAGCTGCGCCGATCCGAAGCCAGGAGGCAGAGCTGCTTCTGGGTCTCCCACGTGGGTTCAGGGGCCCAAGGACTGGGACCATCTTCTACTGCTTTCCCAGGCCATAGCAGAGAGCGGGATCGGAAGAGGAGCAGCCGGGACTAGAACCGGCACCCATGTGGGATGCCAATGCTTTCAGGCCAGGGCTTTAACCCGCTGCACCATAGCGCTGGCCCCGAAAACATTTTTTTCTTTTCTTTTTTTGTGTGGGGGAGGTGGTATTTGAAACGCAAAGAAAGAGAGACATGGACAGCGATCATCTGTCTACTGTTCCCTCCCCAAATTACTGAAATAGCTATAGCCAGGCTAGGCTGAAACAGAGCCTGGCACTTGGTCCAGAGCTCTCATGGCGGGGGCAGGGACTCAAGTACTTGAGCCGTTATCTGCTGCCTTCCAAATAGTGCGTTATCAGGAGCAGGATCAAGAGTGGAGGAGCTGAGACTCGAACCAGGCACTCCAACATGGGATGCGGGTGTCGGAAGTGGCGTCAAGGAACCCCGGCGTCATACATGCACCCTTGTTTATTTATGCATTTTTGTTTGCTGCTTTGGAAGAAGGAAAACTTGAGAGATGCTGGATGTTTTAAAGCTGGAAAGCCTCATTTAAAACTGGCATATTTACAAATAAAGTTGAGTCGTAGTTTTTGTAAATTTGTGTTGTTTGACATACCAAGCCTGATTGAGACTATGCCTCAATAAAGAACTTTCTAGTGCTAAACTAGCAATGTGACTTGGCTTTAGATGTTTTAACAGCACTTTGGGAGTGGGCTTTCAGCTCGCAGTTGAGGTGCCACTCAGTGCCTGGGTGCAAGTCCTGGCTCCGCCCGTCGTTGCAGCTTCCAGCTAACGTGCACCCTCGGAGGTGCACCTGATGGCTCAGGGGTTGGATCTCTGCCCCTCCTGTAGGAGACCCAGATTGAGTTCCTGGCTCCTGGCTTCATCTGGGGAGTGAACCCGCAGATGGGAATTCTCTGCCTCTTCTCTGTCTTTTGCCTCTCAAATACAAATATAAATAAATGAATTATTTTGAAATACAAGTAAAAGTTTTAGAAATCTCCTAACTTCTGCACTTCTTTTTGTTTGGAGTTGGGGGTGGGGAATAGAATCTATCCCATGGCTTCAGTCTGAAATTTTGCCTATCTGGTTGGCTAATAGAATGGAACGAAATTAAGGAAGCTTGGGATCGTTCCAGCTGCAGGCAGAGGAATGTACGGCGCTGTCTTTGACTGGAGCTGATGGGCCGTCTTGTGTTTTACTCTCTTTTTCAGTGAAACGAGCAGTGTGTGCAGCAGCAGCGACACCGGGCTCTTTACCAATGACGAAGGCCGGCAAGGTAACCTGGATCCCACCTGCGGACATGGGTGCGGTGTTTGCGGGGAGTTCTAATGAAGTTAGGAGTGACTTGCCAGGACTCTGATGATTGTCTGCAGCAGTGGTTCTCAAACGTGAGGGCAGGCAAGGTCCACCCGGGGAACTGAAACTGCAAATTCCCGAACTCCTAGAAGTCAAACAGATCTGGAGTTGCGCCTGCAGTCTGCACCTTTGCCCCCTCCACAGGAACAGGAAGCAGTGCTTGTGCAGGAACTTCACGCTGGGGGGTCGCGGGTCTAGGAGGCTAGTGTTGAGGCTGGGACTCTGGCAAGTTCCTGTTGATTAGAACCAAGAAATGACGTCACATGTTATTCTCCTCTTTGGGCTGTGAAGGCATTCTTATTTACATGCAGCGGAAATTTAGTTATTTTTATAAACTTATTTGTAAGTGATTATAGCATTCAAGAGAAACCTCCTTTCTCAAAGTATCTGGAGTTTGGGTTGGAGCCCTGTGAATAAGCCTAGTACCTGTAAGTGGCTAATTCTTTATTGTTGCTACCTGAACAATAATTAGAAACATGGCCTTGATATAAGGGGGTCTTACCAGACTCCTGTCCTTTACCCTTGCTGAATTAAGGGCACGTGACTTGTGTACCAGTAAGAATTTCAGGTAGTCTTCTTGGACTGTAATTTTCTTAATCTAAATAAGGGATTTGTAGGTCTCTAGAGTTCTTTCTAGTTCTGAAATCCAGTAACTTGTCTCCAAGGGCTCGGTGATGAGAGGACAGAAGCAGCACAGTGACCATGTGTCTAGGTTGGTTCAGGGAGGCCCCCAGACCTGAGGAGTTCTTGCCCCAGATGCCCGCCCACATGCCCTCCAACTGGGGCTGAAGCTGGGAGCTGGGAACACAGTCCAGGTCTGCCGTGTGAGTGGCAGGAACCCAGTTACTTAACTGTCACTGCTGCCCCTGAGGGCCTACACCATCAGGAAGCTGGAATCAGCAGCCGGAGTTGCTGCAGTATGGGACATAGGCCTCCTAACCAGGTCTCGACTGCTGGGCTAACCTCCTGCCCTTTAAGTGAGCACTGTAGGAATGAAGACCCTTTCATCCCTGTGGAATTGTTGAGCTTCCTATTATGATGGAGGTAGTTTTTTAAAAAATGTTCCTGGGGAAAAACATTCTTTTCTTAAATTTTTTTTGATTTATCATATTATTGAAAGGCAGGGAGGGGGAGAGAGAGAGAGAGAAAGTATTTTCTATCTCCTGCTTCACTCCCTAAGGTCCTGCAATAGCTGGGACCGGGCCAGGCTGAAAACAGGATCTAGGGATTCTGTCTGGGTCTTCCACAGGGGTGGCAGGGAGTGAAATACTTGAGCCATCACCTGCTGCCTCTCAGGGTGCATATCAGCTGGGAGCTTGAATCAGGAGTGGAGCAGGGACTTGAGCCCAGGCACTCTGATATGAGATCTGGGTGTCCCAAGCCGTGTCTTAACCACTGTGTCAGACGCCTGCCCCATGGAGGTTGTTGTGAGTGCATTTCTGTCTGGTTCTGAGGGAATTTGGTGTCATTAGAGACTGTGTGTGTGTGTGTGTGTGTGTAGGTAGGTAGGTAGGTAGGCTCTAGGGTCTTGTTCTATTGTCTCACACCAGGGGAGTCTGGTTGTCTTTCCATGAGTGTCCTGGTGTTTATCATTCAGGGGTACTAATATTTGCCTTTTGTTTTGTTTTACTGCTGTGCTATAAAGTATCATAAGATATTTCCTAAAGATTATGATGCATAGATTACACAGAGGTATAAGAAGTGTGGATTTACTACAGCAGATTATGTTTTTGGGCCTTTGGAAAGGCTGTCCTAAGAGGAATTCTTAGGTTTGGCCTGGAAGATTATAGGATATGCTGTGACCACCAACTCTTCTCTTTTTAGAGAGAGAGAGAGGTCTTCCATCTGCTGGTTCACTCCCCAACTGGCCATAATGGCTGGACCTGTGCTGAACCCAAGCCAGGAGCCAGGAGTTTCCTCTGGGTCTCCCACGCGGGTACAGGGTCCCAAGGACTTGGGCCATCTTCTAATGCTTTCCCAGGCCATAGCAGAGAGCTGGATCAGAAGTGGAGCAGCCGGGACTCAAACCGGCGCCCATGTGGGATGCTGGCACTATAGGAGGTGGCTTTACCCGCTACACCACAGCGCCGGCCCCCTCTTTTTCTCTTTCCCAACTTCACATATTCTGCTGGCGTTTGGATGCTTAGAGCATCAGCACAAAGCTGTACTCTTCCCTGCCTCTGTGCCTTTGCTCTCTTGACCTGAAGTCTCTTGCTCACCTTTCCTTGAGTGGCTGATCATTCACCAAGATAGTTCTCCTTTGGCCCCTACAGCATATATTTATGGCCTACAGCAGTGGGTTTTCTTGCACTCAGTTGCTTGCTGAGTTTGGTCAACCAGAGGCAATAGTGGAAGATAGGAGGGATGGAGGTGATTGAGACTGGGTGTATTAGTAAAGTTTTATTGGGATATGCTGTTCAATAGCCCCTAAATTTCAGTGGTTTACCACATTTATTTCTTATTTGTTGGCTGTAGGTTAGCTTTGGTTCAGCTGATCTTGCTTGAGCTTAGCTGGTCTCCAAGTCTCAATTTAAGTTTCTATCTACTCAGCAAATCTTATTTAGCGCACCTGGGCTGAAGAAGGAATGGCGAGAGGTGTCGTGTGCTTCCTATGGCAGAGGACAGCAATGCCAGTGGGCCAAGCCATGCATGTTTAAAGCCTTCGCTTGAATCGCATCAGATAGTTCCACTACCTAAGTCAGTCATATGGCCAGGCCTAATGTCAGCAAGACTAGGAAGTGTGCTCTTAGCATCCAGTGGCCAAGGCCGAAGGATGTGGTTGACTGTCATGGAGAGGTAGTGAGGACTTGGAGGTAATGCCATCTACCACACTGGACTGTGGCTTTCCCTGGCTCTGTCGCTGTTGGGTTGATGATTGGCCACGGTTTTGGTCCTCTACCGAGGCCACATCTCCTGTGAGGCAGTCTTCCTGTAACCGTGGTTCTGTCTCTGGGCTCTGTGACTGCTCCAGCTCTAGGAAGGGCAAGGACTCCCAGCTGGCTGCAGGGTCACTGTCTTCTCTTGGTGTCCTCGTTAGTACTCAGAGAAGGAGAAAACGCTCCCTTTTCTTCTCGAACAGATTTGTACACAGAATCTCAGATTATTAAACAACTGACCTATTTTGGTTAAAGCCACATTCTTGGGGAGCCAGAGGTCAGGAGCCTGATCCGTACATCTTCTTGTTCTCTGGCAGCATTTTTTTTTTTTTTAAGATTTATTTATGAGGCTGGCATTGTGGCACAGTGGGTTTAGCCACTGGCTGCAGTGCCAACATCCCATGTGGGTACCAGTTCGATTCCTGTCTGCTTCACTTCCAATCCAGCTTCCTGCTAATACACCGGGAAAACAGTGGAAGATGGCCCAAGTGCTTAGACCCCTGCACCCACATGGGAGACCCAAAAGAAGCTCCTGGCTCCTGGCTTCAGCCTGGCCCAGCCATGGCCATTGTGACCACTAGGGGAGTGAAACAATGGGTGGAAAATCTCTCTCTGTAAGCCTGTCTTTCTAATAAATAAATCTTAAATAAAAAATATTTATTTATTTGAAAGCAAAGTGTCAGAAAAATATCTTCCATCCATGGGTTCACTCCCCAAGTGGCTGCAAATTTGGGCCAGGCTGAAGCCAGGAGCCAGGAGCTCCTTCTGGGTTTCCCATGTGTGTGACAGGGGCCCAAGTACTTTGACGATCTTCTGTGCCTTCTCAGGCACACTACCAGGAAGCTGGATCCGAAGTGGAGCAGCCAGGGCCCAAACCAGTACTCTGATATGGGATGCCAGTGTTGCAGGAAGTGGCTTAACCCACTGTGCCACAACGCCAGTCCCTGGCAGCATTGTTTTGGGGGAGGGGGGTTTAAAATCATGTTTATTCCTCTCATCAAAGGTTGCCCACCTAACACAGTGGTCTTCAGTGTGTATTTTTACATGACTACACAGCCTGAATGACTTGCTCACAATCCAAGGTAGTTTTGTGTTTTGGTGTTCCTGTTGTTAAGGAGAGAGTCCTCGCTGAGGTAGAAGGTACATTAATGACAACGAAATCAAGGAGGATCTTCATCTGCTAGGGCCACAGGTTGCACCGCAGCCCTCAGCGAGCAGGTCCCCCAGTTCTTGCAGCAAAGGGGACTGAGAGTTAAAAACACCTTGGAAAAAAATCAAACAGCACCTGCCACATATGCTTAGATAAAGGCCACGCTTGTGAACTGCTCACCCAGGCTGCCCCAGTGTAAGAGAATTAAATAGAAACCTAAGACTGATGGATCTTCTCACTTCTTCCTCTTTGTGGGATATGGATATAATTTCTCTTCAAGTGGGACAGGGACAATTCCTTCACATGGTTTTACTTCCTGAGTCAAAGGATATTTTACAACATTCGGTCTGATCACATCAGTCTCGTGACAAATACTCCTTTATGCTTTCAACAGTAGTTGTTGGTGCATAAAAATCCACCGAGAAGTACCGGCCCCGAGTGTGTCGCTGGCTGTGGGTGAAGATCCTCTGGGGAAGCGGGGAAGCGCGTGCTCGCCCAGGTTTTCCAGGTTCCTCACTGCCGTGCCTCTGCCCATCAGGGTTGGGATCGTACGTTTCAGAGCAGCGGCCTGCTGCATGGCTCTCAGGATCAAAGCCACCTCGTAGCAGGGCATGCCCGAACGCTCGGTGCGCGGCTCGGCCTGAGCCGGCTCCCTAGACGCGGACGGGGGCGGTGGCAGGACCTGCGGGGTCCTGAGGGCTCCTGGGCCAGACAGCTCGCCGGCGGCGGAAGCCCTGGCAGCATTCTTACGGAGCTCCTGCACCACGTGTCTGCAGGTTGAAGGCTTCTGATCTAGATGACTCACAGGGTCCCTTCTAGTTCCGTGAATCCCTCTCTGCGTTATTAAAAACCTTGAGTGACTGCTGAGAACTCCCCAGATCCCACTGTAGTCTGTCATTTGTCATCCAAAAGCATGAGCTAACTTAATATTCTATTTCGATAAATGGCTTTAAGGAATGCTTGTGGATAGGAAGGCAATGAATATATTAAAGTTCAGAGAAACTAATCATTGTACACTAATGGCTATCTTTAATTCCTACAATGTACCTGGTTCATGGGATGCTTTTTGGAGTATTGGTTCTCAGAATGTAGTCCCTAGACCAGCTTAGCACTGCCAGGGAACTTGTTAGAAATGCAAATTTTTGGTCTTGCCCAAACCAGCCAGAGTTAGAGACTTAGGGTATAGGGCCAGCAGTCTGTGTTTTCATAAACTTCCCTGGTGCTTCTGATGCAGGACAGAGGCTGAGAGCCACTGCTGTAGAAAGATTGCTGCTTGTGGTGTGTTTCCATAGGGGACACCTGGAATCACTTCAGTATCGCTGGTGTTCGGAGATCTCTCCAGGGATGCAAGAGTGACCTTCGTCCTGGGTGCTGAGACCCATGGATTGAGGCGTGCCCTGAGCAGCTTCTCTGGGATCCAGCATATATTAAGAAAGAATGCTTTACAAACTCTTTAGATGTTTTCCTAACAGTTTACTTCATCTTTGCCGTTTTGAAAAGAGGGCAGCAGACAGGAAGCAGGAATAAACTCTAGCAGAAACTGGAATGTCATCATTGTAGTCAATAGAAAGAACTTGGAACCTAGGGCCTGTATATATTGGATTAGCTGTGACTTTGACATTAATGAAAAATTTGACCTTGGGCAAGTGGTATAACTTCCTGGAAAGCTTTGGGGAATTATATTGTTTGTTTCTGTGGTGAATTTTTTCCTGGTTACTTGAATTGCTCGTGTGAGGATGATTTTTTGTTCCCATTAATGAGATACCAAGGTAGAAATGCAGTACAGCATATATCCTTTGTTTAGCTGTTATGAGAAATGTGACTACAACAAGAAATCTCAGAGGAAGAGCTAATTTTGAATTGAGAAACATTTATGAGCTTTGAACTGTAAGTTTATTTAGACCCCAGAGAACAGTAGGGGAAGAGCAGTTTATTTTTGTCTATAGACTTAAGGCTTTGGAGTTGATCAGGCTCTGGGTTCAAATCCTGGGTTCCTTATTTACTGACTTGGTCTTGGTTTCCACAGGCTTTAGTTGCCCCATTGTAACTAGAAGTTTGGAGCTGGCATTGTGGCATAGTGGGTAAAGCTGCCGCTTGTGATGCAGCATCCCTTATGAGTGCCGGTTCAAGTCCCGGCTGCTCCACTTCTGATCCAGCTTCCTGCTAATGCACCTGGGAAAGCAACAGAAGATGGCCCAAGTGTCTGGGCCCCTGCCATCCATGTGGGAGACCCAGGTGAGCTCCTAGCTCCTGGCTCCTGCCTCCTGGCTGCAGCTTGGCCCAGTGCTGACTGTTGTGTTTAGCTGGGGAGTGAACCAATGGATGGAAGATCTCTTTCTGTCTCTTATTCTCTCTTTATAACTGTGAGTTTCAAGTAAATAAATAAATCTTAAAAAAAAAAAAGTAGGAGTTAATATAGGACTTGGAAGAGATAACGTGTTTATAGGTTTTAAGCACAAACCCTGGTAAATGATAGTAAATGATAGCTGTGTTTGTGTTTAGTACCAAAGCAGTCCAGTCTAACACAGTGTGACTTTCCTGTGAAGCTAGTTTGATATCCCAGTTTTCATCGTCATATAGATCGTTAAGAAAGACCAGAACTCCTTTCTCGTACTTTGATTTATTTTAAAGCACTGAGAAATTACCCTCTCATTTGGTTTCTCGTGGAGCATGTTAACATTGCAGCACACGGTGTCGTCTCTTGGCTCCAGGGGACGATGAGCAGAGCGATTGGTTCTATGAAGGAGAGTGCGTCCCAGGGTTCACCGTCCCCAACCTTCTGCCCAAGTGGACTGCTGATCATTGCTCCGAAGTGGAAAGGATGGATTCCGGCCTGGATAAACTTTCCGACCCCACATTCCTCCTGCCCTCTCGGCCGGCTCAGAGAGGTGAGTGCTGCGATGAGACACACGTCACGCTGTCACGTGTCCCTTGGGGAAGAAGAATCGCGCCATGGCAGGATTCCAAGAACCCGTTGACTCTGAACCGTGGAGCTCGTCTGAGGCTTCAGAGGTGACTCTCAGAGCTCAGGGTCTCATTCCTCCCTAAGTCGATCCCTGGAGACTGGGGACATAGTTGGCAGGACACTCTCAGGTTGCCACCCCCTGTTGTCACAGCACAGCCGCCATCCTGCTCTGAAACTGATGGGGGTATTCAGAGCCCACGGGAACTTGAAATACAGGAGTTTGGAAGAGAACAGATTTTAGTAAACTCCCATTTCTTAAAATGGATGCTTTAGAAATACTTCTTTAAATAATTCTACTTAAGTGATTCTGTTATTGCAAATCTTTACACAGATACCAACTTTCCCTTCTCCTGTGATGTAGCAAAGTGAGATGGGAGGAGCCTAGACAGAGAAGGACGGACGAGCCGCGCTGCTCCCTGATGCTCTCCTTGAGGTGTCAGAGCCCTCACTGAGCTATATGGTGTTGAACGAGACTGAGAGCTTGCTTTTAACTCTGCAAATCTGTGATTCTAGGATTCCCAGTAGCTAGTAAACAAGCAGGCAGTCCGTTCTCCAGTATCTGTCGAGCTTGGTTGGTGATGAGGGTATCCTCAGGAGCTGTGACCTCCCATTATGTGGCGCTGTGTTTCGATGAGTTTTCAGGGCTGGGGGTGTGTGAGGCCTTGCAGAGCAGTTGCTTGACTTGCACATTGTCTACTTATCGGCCCTCACTGAACACGGCAGTGAGCATTTCTGAGAGTCCTCTCTGGACCACTTACATTGTACACAGGGGAACAAGAGCAACAGGAAGAGCCTTAGAGCAGACTGCAAACCCAGATCTGGAGACAGTTCATGGACCGTATTTCTGTGTGCATTCTCCCCATTGTTTTTTCTACATGTAGAACACAGGCAACAGCTGGAAAAAGGAGGTTATGCTATCCAAGGGGTCTTCCGGAAGTTGATGGAGAATGAGTATTGTGAAAAAACTACCATGTACTAAAGAAAATTTTTTGCACCAAAATAAATTTATCTTTTCATTCCGTTTTCTCAGATTTTTTTCAGGTACCCTCTTAACAGGCTCTTTTCACCTGTTTTTGACATAGTAACTAGCTTCTAATTTAAAATTAGGAGTTGTTTATAATGCCTTACATTTGTGAAGTGTTGTCACTTACTCAGTGCCTTCTACATACGGTTCACTGGGTCTTCCAGACAGCCCCGTAAAGTAGGCCTGAGGAAGTGATTATCCCTCTTTTTAGACAGGGAGGCCAAGGTCAAGGTAGATGACGTGCCTAAGATTGTAGTGCTGGTGACAAAGACGTGGGAACGGTAAGTCCGTGGTGGACAGCCTTGAGATACTAGTTTAAAGATCAGTCGAGAAAGATTCTGGGGGTAAGGCCTTCAGCGTACTACAAATGTGATTTCTTCTGGACTGTCTGCAGCCAGGAGCTGAGCCCTTCTTCTCTTTTTTAGGGTACCATGCTCGCTTGAATCGTCTGCCTGGAGCTGCAGCTCGATGCCTCCGAAAGGGGCGAAGAAGGCTGGGGAAGGTGATGGCTCATATTCCCCAGGCTCTGCGGGAAGCCAGTATCCCCCTGGGGCATGTGGACCCTGTTGACAATCAGAGGTTCCACAGAGCTCCCTGGAGTTAACGAAGCCAGTTACAGCTTTTTGTTAGCTTCTGAGAATGGACATTATGTAGGATATGAAGGAGTACACCTACAAAACATGAAACTTACAGAAGTTCTGACGGAGTAGACACTGTCATTATAGTGGCTGTTTGTAAATCTATAGGTTAATCTTACCGTGTGCCTAAAATACTCCTGGCTTCTCTATGACTCCTGAGTTCATGAATGGGTCTTTGTTCTATGTTAACTTTGGTCTTTTCATCCTAGAGTTCATTAAGACAGAGAGAGAGAGAGAGAGAAGCAAATCCTTGTTGGCACATTGCAAGGGTCCCTCCTTAGCCGTGAAGGGGGAATGGCCCTGTTGGTTCAGTTCTGCCTTTGCCAGGGCCTGAGTAGAAAAGGTCACATTCCCCTTTAGCAGATGAGAAAAACTTACATTCAAAGAAGTTACACCTGACGTTTCCTAGAGAGAAGAAACAGAATACAGATTTGAACCCACCTATGTCTATCTTTAACAGTGGTTATTTATCTTTTTACTTTTGACCATAGCTCTGTGACTGAGAAATAGGGTAAGACAGGGATTTGTGCACAGTCCGAGGAGGTGGTGGTGGGCCAGGAGGAAGGAAGAGAGAGGCGTAGGCAAGCACTGATTTGTTCACTCGCCAAGTGTTTAGGAGGCCTGCTCCATGGCGGCTCTGTGCCAAGCCGGGTGTGTAGCATTCAGGCACAGTCTGGCTACGCCTAAGATGCCACTGTTTAGAGTCCAATCAGGAAGTCATTTTCTGAAGTTTTAGACAAAAGAAGTGAGGATGTTTATTTCCAGCTGAACTCAGATTCCTACTTCTTTTTAGTTTTAAATTCAATCCCAGTTCCTAATTAGAAGAATGTTTGATTATTGGACGAATGATTTCTGTTCCCTCGGATCACTCATTTTGCAGACAATAGAATGCGTCTTTGCCTGTGCCAGGAGCATACTATGAACAGGACGGCCAGCAGGCTGGGAGTCCCTGAGGTGGAGGGCGGGCAGAGGTTGGAGAGGGGCTTTTTCCCTTTGTTGGTTAGGCAGGAAGATAAAGCCTTCCCTTCCGCCTACCTCACTCAGCAGCAGGAGCCTTGCATTTCCATGGAAGTGAGTCATTTCATCTTGAAGCATTCCTTTAGCTAGCCTGGAAGGGAACTAAGACCCGCTGGACGTGACGTGCTTCTAATGATTTCAAATGAATAGGATAATATTTACTTGTTTAATTCATCTTCATCACCTTAAAGGGATATTTGTCATTTCTAGCAGAGGTCACTGTTCAGCTCCCCTCCAGCCCCCCCACCTCTCTTCTCTTTCTCTAAATTGTAATCATAAATAATGAGTTTCATTCACAGCTCCCTGCCAGCGAACTGCTAATTACGCAAAGTACTGCTTGTAATTTACACAGTAATAAACTGTAAATTTAAACATTACGGCACTTTCAGTTAATAATTTTCCAGCTGTAGCAAATAGCTCATTTTTCACCCATCTTTTCCCTTGGCCCCCTTGCCACGTCTGCATCTGTGTCCAGCAGGCAGAGACGAAAGGGGTGAAGAGCAGAGTATGTAGCGCCTTCTCGTTTAAGCTCCACCCCTACCCAGCGTCTGACCTCAGATTAATGTTTCCGTAGCCAGTTGTCCTGCTAAAATGTGCATTCTAATGTGTAGGTTAATGCACGCAATGCAGATGAATGTAGATAGTGTCTGCCCAGAAGTAAATGCATGTGAGTCACGGCTTGACGTTCTGCCATTGTACCCCACCTGATGTTCTGTCATCTTAACACACACACACATCTGTGTAACTCCTCCTCCTGTGCGTGGTGCTGTGCGTTCCAGTTTCTGTGACAGACACAGCCAGGTAAATGCACTCAAGTTAGATGAGGGCTGAGGGCCTCATTCTGCCACTTTGATTTCCGGGGGGATGATTAGTTTCTGAATTTCTTGTATTCTTCTGGGTAAGCTCCCATGACAATCTCGAGAACCCCAGATTTAACAGTCAGTTTATGTGCCCCTCATTTTCCTTTGGAGTGGTGGTGCTGAAGGGACAGAGGCAAGGTGACAATTTCGCTAAGTCACGGAAGCCCTTTGGCTTGCCTTCCTGGAGTTGGCAGATGTCTTGGTTTACCAGTGAGGGTGCATGAATGTCCCATACGACGACTCCTGGGCTTGTTCCTGTGGCTGCGGGGAGCGTGCTGTGCAGGCCTGGGAAACAGGGCCCACTTCCGGGTTTCTGAACAAGTGTTTCTGCTTCTGTGTACGCCAGTAACTCCAGAAGGTGTTACTGAATTAAAACGTCATCACAGGAAGCAGTGTTTATAATGACATTTTTGGATCACCAGAGACAAGTAAGACAACATGTAGCATTCTGAAATGTACTCTCTGCTGGATTTGAAGATGGGTGTTGGACGTGTGCCTCTGAGGTCGCTGGGGCCCCCTTCAGTTGTGGGAGCACGTGAGCTGGATGATGGATTGTGCATTTGTCTCTGGCTGGCTCAGCCTCTCCTTGTCTTTCTAGGAGACCAGCATGAGCCCTTTGGGCACGGAGAGGATCAGCCACATCATTAGAGACCCGCGGCAGAAAGAGTAAGTGCACGTGGTGGGGCGGCTCTCCCAGCCTGTTCCGCGGGAGGTTATGAAGCCACTTAGAAACCAGGCCTTGTTTTTTTTTTTTTTTTTTTTTTAAAGAAAAAAATTTTTTTAATTTATTGGAGAAGCAGAGTTACAGACAAAGGGAGAGACAGAGAGAAAGGTCCTCTATCCACTGGTTCACTCCCCAAATGGCTGCAATGGTCGGAGCTGGGCCAATCTGAAGCCAGGAGCTAGGAGCTTCTTCCCTGTCTCCCACGTGGGTGCAGGGGCCCAAGCACCTGGGCCATCTTCTACTGCTCTCCCAGGCCATTAGCAGAGAGCTGGATCAGGAGAGGAGCAGCCAAGACACAAACCAGCGCCCATATGGAATGCTGGCACCGCAGGCAGAGGCTTAGCCCACTACACCACAGTGCTGGCCCGAAAACCAGGCTTTTGAGCTGTATTACCTAACAGTTCACATGGCTGACTGCTAAGCCATGGCAGTGATTTTCGCCTCCTTTCCAAACTAGTCTTAATTTAATCAATCAATTTGCTGGTTATTTGAGTTTTGAATTTTATAGGTATAGCTTCCAGTAAGGATGCTGTATTTTAAACTCATTTTTCTGTCTCTTTTTTTCTTTTTGGGTGATTGCCTTTATGTCCCTACCTTCTCCCCTCGTCCTTGGACCTCTGTAGAGGGAAATCTCCTTTCATCCTAATGACTGGGGACAGCCTTTATGTAGCTCTCGGAAAGTTTTTTTTTTTTTAAAGATTTATTTTATTTATTTGAAAGACAAGAGTTACAGAGAGAGGTAGAGACAGAGAGAGGGATCTTCCATCTACTGGTTCACTCCCCAGTTGGCTGCAATGGCTGGAGCTGTGCCAATCCAAAGCCAGGAGCCAGGAGCTTTCTCTGGGTCTCCCACGTGGGTGCAGGGGCTCAAGAACTTGGGCCATCCTCTACTGCTTTTCCAGGCCATAGCAGAGAGCTGGATTGGAAGGGGAGCAGCCGGGGCTCGAACTGGCGCCCATATGGGACACCACGCTTCAGGCCAGGGCTTTAACCCATTGTGCCACAGCACCAGCCCCTGTAGGAAACTTATTATATCCTTTCTCTGACAGCCTTGTCCCCTAATGTGGTTGAATCTTCTTTTCTTTTTAATGATTTATTTATTTATTTGAGAGGCAGAGGCAGAAGCAGAGAAACAGAGGTCTAAAATCTGTTGGTTCATTCCCAAAATGGCTGCAACGGCCAGAGCTGTGCCAATCTGAAGCCAGGAGCTTCTTCCCGTCTCCCACCTAGCTGCAGGGGCCCAAGCACTTGGGCCATCTTCCACTGCTTTCCTAGGCCATAGCAGAGAGCTGGATTGGAAGTGGAGCAGCCGGAATTCAAACCGGCGCCCATATGGGATGCCAGCATTGCAGATGGGGCTTTACCTATTACTCCACAGTGCTGGCCCCGCGGTTGGCTCTTGTTTCCTGTATGTGTCGTGGTCAGGACCTGGTTCTGATCCTGTACACAGCCAGCCTTGTCTGAGTTTTAACTTACTTGGTAGGCTAGATGTGAGTTGAGGACCCTGCTGTCACTGCCCAGCTGAGAGTGCGCTGGTGTCACTCTGTACTCTGGCTTCATGTCTGGCCTGTTCAGTTTATTTATTTATTTATTTTTTTAATTTTTTGACAGGCAGAGTTAGGCAGTGAGCGAGAGAGACAGAGTGAAAGGTCTTCCTTCCGTTGGTTCACCCCCCAAATGGCCGCTACGGCCTGCGCGCTGCGCCAATCTGAAGCCAGGAGCCAGGTGCTTCCTCCTGGTCTCCCATGCGGGTGCAGGGCCGAAGCACTTGGGCCATCCTCCACTGCCCTCCCGGGCCACAGCAGAGAGCTGGACTGGAAGAGGAGCAACCGGGACAGAATCCGGTGCCCCTATGGGATGCTGGCGCCGCCGGCGGAGGATTAACCAAGTGAGCCACGGCGCCGGCCCCAACGAAGCTTTCCCTTTGCAGAGTTATTTCAGCAGAATCGTCGTCGTTGTCCTGTCTTCCCCAGCTGCAGCCCTTCCCCGTCTCCTCCCTTGGCCTCACTTACACCTTCGCGTTCCTCGGCTGCTGTCTGGTTTCCCTGCCACTTCTTTCACTGTTTTCTTTACTGTTCTTCTCCCCTTCTCTTTAGTTTCTGGCTGCCATCAGCTGGGAAAAGAGAACGCAATCAGGTAAGAAGGCCTGTCTTTGTTATCTTTGTTTTTATCTTCTGGTTTCCTTTTCTTTAGAAAGAATAAAGCGCCGGCCCCTGACTTTCCTCACTTTTCTGCACAGGAGGTAAGGGGCTCTCTTCCCTCCCGCACCCTGAGTGCCTCGGAGGGCTGTTTCCAAGACTGGCACTCACTGGTCGGCACGGCATTCTAGGCCCTTTTTTGAATTCAGCTGTGGTCATCAGTTCTTACTTAACAACACATATTCATAGGATCCCTCTTTTTAATTTAAGTTTTGAACTTTGCCCTTAGCAGGCAGAATGAATCTCATCTGCTCAGGAGTTAGCTCAGCGCCCGAATCCCGAGCTGAGAGGTGCTCTGGTGAGGCCTGTGCGTGCAAACAGAAGGTGCAGCTACTTTGGGTGAAGTGGGGTTGAGGCCTTGAAGCCTTGCCCTCGTGGTCTTGTGCCTGGCCACCCTGGGAGGGGCCCTCAGCGTAGTTAGACCTTTGAGGAGGGGTTGCAGTTGAGCTTTTTGATCTTTGAGGTGGGGGTTGCTTTGTCTCAGTGAATAGTTGTCATGTTGATGAAGACTGACAGGTAGAAATTCTCAGGCTTCCTGTTGCTTAGCGTTTTTATTTTGACTTCTTAGTAGCTTATTGATAACTCTCGTAGGCTTGGTACTTTGATTGTGAATTTGCTATTTCAAAATGAACTAGAGCCATGGAAGACATGATGGGGGTGGATGGTATGAAGATACGTAACTTGGATTGTAAGCTCTGTACCATGACATATATTAAAACAGTATATAAAACACATTTTATGGAAACATAGTAAGGATAAGGCTGAGCAGAAATGATTGATATAAAGGAAAATACTAAGTAAGCAGGAGGTGGTGGACAGGTCAGACCAAAGTCCTGAAGGCACTGTGTGAGAGTCCGCAGCTTGGGGAACTGTCCACGGGAACAGCAGCCACGTTGGCCTCAGAGGAGCTGGAGGCAGAAGGGGACCCGTGGTGACTGCTTAGTCCATCAGAGGGACTGGAGGGCCACAGGGTGTGGACTGCTTGCCCAGAGCCATGCAGCTGGTGGACCGGGTCTGGAACCTCTGTGGCAGATAAAGCAGCTGCTTAGTTTGTATTCTTTTTAAGTTCTTTTGAAGTTGCCATTCAAAGTTCTCCCAGTCTTAAGATGTATTAAGTTAGGGACTTCAAGTCCAAAGAAAGCTCGCAAGCACGAAGTGAGATGCTTTCATCTGTAGGAGCCCATTTGATCCTCACAACCACCTTCTGAGGTCAGTAGATGCTTTACAAATGAGAAATGAAGTTCCTTTAAAGCATGGTTTCAGTTAGCCTTTGCAGCATCCTGTAAAGCGAGTGAGACAGAGGCGGTACGCAGACTCACAGAGGAGGCAGTGAAGCTCAGAGATTTTAACACAGGCAACTCCGTGGTAGACTGGGACTTACCAAGTTCGGTATTCCAATTCTTAGTCTAGTTATCTTCCCACTGTACCTAAAGAAACAAGGTCCAACACTCACTTGATAGCAGCAGGCAGAAGTTCCTGTTACGTCAGCTGGAAAGCGCTGTCCTGGGCTGCTTACGGGATTCCCGTGTAGTAGAAGCTTTTGAACAACTGGTGCTTAACAAGGAGTCCTTTTTTTTTTTCTTTTTCTTTTTGAGGTGTGCTAGATCAGGGATGGTGCGTCCGTGGGCAAACTCTTCAATACAGGCCCCTTTATCCCCGGGTGTCTATATCTGCCATGGCCAGAGAGTTGGGCAGTCAAAGAGCGAGGCAATCTGGTAGGAGAGAGGGTTTCTCACACGCCTCACTGAAAGCGTCCTGTTTCGTCCTGCAGTGTAACCCCCTCTCCCCGCTGTACTCCCTGGGTGTTCTTGCTGATGCTTCTCACCGAAGATGCTCACCAGCGCACTGCTCTGCCAGGTACTTGTCTTCTGGGTGCTGATTTTCTTTCTTTAAAAATGATATAACATGTGCTTTTTATTTATTTACTTCTTTGAAAGGCAGTGAGAGAGTGACTGAGCATGCCCCCATCTGCTCGTTCATTCTCCAAAGGACCACAATGGCCAGGGCTGGGCCAGGGCAAAGCCAGGAGCTGGAAGCTCAATCCAGGCCTCCCTTGTGGATGGCAGAGACCCAACTACTTGAGCCTTCCAGGGTGTGCATTAGCAGGAAGCTGGGGTCTAGAGAGTACCCTGAACTTGACCCTGGCACTCTGATCTGGGCTGTGGGCACTCCAAGTCTCTTAACTGCTGTCAAATGCCTGCCCCAAGTGGCTGTCATGTTCTTGTGAGTAATACCATATTCCTTTTTATAATACTTTGTTATAAAGAATGTGTGTAATATCCATTTATTCCTTACAACAGCTTTTGGAGATAACTAGGTTTTAGGGAGGTGGGAACTGAAGCAGAGTAGTGAAGTCTCTTTCTGTGGTCACGTGGCTAATATGATTGAGTTTCAACTTTGACCTAACTCTTCCGGCTCCTATTTCATATTATTTCTGCTGCTCAAAGCTCCATCTTCAAAGAACATTATTAATGTTCCCTGCCGTGACCTGCGCAGCCCTGCATAATCTGACTCCTGCCTACGTGTCCAGGCTCCTTTCAGACGATGCTGCCCCTCTCTGGGGGAGAGGGCCGGCTGCGCCAGGGAGCCCCATTTTGTTCTTCAAAAACAGCAGCCCTCCCCTGCCTCTGAAGCTTTCCTCTCGTTCTCTTTGCCTGGAAAGCCATCTTTGAGCTCGCGTCCGTCTCGGCTCAGGTGCCGCCCCCTCAGGGAGGCCTCCGGGGCCATCCTGCCGAAAGGGGCCACCTCCAGCACCCCGTGTTCATTAGCTGTTTGCCTCCTCTGCAGTCTGTAATGAATTTACCTAAGAGTTTATCTTGGGGACTTTTTTTTTTTTTGGTCCCCCTTCCTAGTGAGCCCCCAGCCCCTCTGTGTGATGCCCACTAGGCGTTCAATGTACATTTATGCTAGGCTTCTCAGTATAAGTTCTCTTCATGTAGGTAACACAGGGAGTCAGTGTGATTTCCGTGGTGGCATCCCTCCCGTAGCAGGATCATATGCACAGAAGAGCCGCTAACGGGCTGGACCACAGAGCTTCTAAAAATTAATTAACAAATTAATTTTACTTACTTGAAAGAGGGAGAGAGAAAAAGATGTGTCTTCCGTCTGCTGCCTCATTCCGTAAATGCTGCAATGGCCAAGGCTTGGCCAGGCCAAAGCCAGGAGCTCGGGATTCAATCCAGGTCTCCCAATTCAGGTGTTCAAAGAGTTTATTTCCAGCATGACAATGATTTTGTTGTTGTTGTTGTTTTAAAGATTTTTTATTTGTTTGAAAGAGTTAGAGAGACACACACACACACATACAGAAAGAGATCTTCCATCTGCTGGTTCTCTCCCCAAATGGCCGCAACAGCCAGAGCTGGGCTGATCAAAGCTAAGAGCCAGGAGCTTCTTCCGGGTCTCCCACATGGTTACAGGGGCCCAAGCACTTAGGACATCTTCTGCTGCTTTCTCAGGCCATTAGCAGGGAGCTGGATGGGAAGTGGAGCAGCTGGGATTCAACCAGCGCCCATATGGGATGCCGACACTGCAGGTGGTGGCTTTACCTGCTGTGCCACATTGCCAGCCCCACAACTGCCTTTACGGAATATTACAGTGAAAGCCAAGAGCCTGGGGTAGGACTGTAAGTTTAAGGTAACACTATATATATATATACTGTACATATATTGATGTGTTATTATTTTTTTTTAAAGATTTTACTTATTTGAGAGGTAGAGTTACAGACAGAGAGAGGGAGAGAAAGAAAGGAAGGTCTTCCATCCACTGGTTCCCCCTCAAATGGCTGCAACAGTTGGAGCTTGGTTGATCCGAAGGCAGGAGCTAGGAGCTTCCTCTAAGTCTCCCATGCAGGTGCAGGGGCCCAAGCACTTTGGCCGTCTTCTACTGCTTTCCCAGGCCATAGCAGAGAGCTGGATCTGAAGAGGAACAGCTAGGACGTGAACCGGCACCCATATGGAATGCTAGTGCTGCAGGCAGTGGCTTTAGCCGCTATGCCACAGCACTGGCCCATCTAATAAATTCTGAAATATGTTCTTAGATTCGGGGTGCAGCCTGCACCCAGAAATTATTCTCATGGATGCAGTGAGAACTTGTACTAGAGGCTGTAATAAAGAGCTCTGTCTCAGCCCACCGCCAGTGGAGCGGTGGTGTTTCACAGGGAGACTTTTGTGTAAAGAGAGACCGTCGTAAATAGTGCTGCTAAGGAGGTGGGATGTTGTTGGACGACACAGACTTCTTCAGTAGCATACTGCGTGTGCATCATTCATTCATGCGCTGACTCCCCACCGTGAGCCGGGCTCTTTGTTTAGATACCGAAGGAGCTTCTGTTCCCGAGGGATAACGGGGCGGAAATTGACAATTAGGCTGGATGCTCGGAAGCAGGAGCCGGGCTCGTGACTCTGAGGCTCAGGGAGGTTGTCTTAGGGGTGATGGTCGCAGGCTCTCTCGGGAGGCACAGATTCCGTCTGTAGGAAAGCTGTCCTCTGGCTTCTTGTCTCCCCACTCAGTCTCATGCCTGTGCAAGACTGTGTAAAGAGCACACGGAGCAGCCCACCACCGCGGGAGGGGCAGAGGGGATTTCCCTGGCCGCTGCCCTCTGCCTCTGCCACCTAGGCAGTGCCGTGGCGCCATCACTCTCCAAGCTCTCACCAGGTTTTCTGTTGCTCTGAAAAGCCTCCTCCCGGCAGGCCTGGCTGGCAGCACCTTGTTTCTCTGTGTATCTCATTATCTGCGTTTTTATCTTCGCTCTTACTGGGGAGTGCTGGTGCTGGACTTAGACACACAAGGCAGTCTGGGGCCTGCTGCTAGTGCCCTCGGCTCTAGGAGAACGTGGCCTGTTGCTCGAGACCATTGCTGTGGCAGTGAGGACAGAGAACGTGCGCCGGGAGAGGGCCTCTTTGTCCTCCCTCCCAGGCCGCATCCCCAGAGCAGTAGACTCGCACGGTGTGGCATGTGGGAAGGTTCTGTGGGGGCAGGGCAAGTGCACTTTTAACCCTGTGTGTCTTCATTATCTTAGCCTTAGAAATTTGTTATTGTTTCTGTTTTACATATATCGCTCTGGAAGCACATATTTATATTCCGTGTGTGTGTATCACGTGTATCAAGAGCGTGTCCTCAACTTTTACTCCCCCGGGGGTTGCACCGTCAGTAGTTTGGCAAGCACTGCTCTGTGGGAGATGATCAGCGCGGGTTTTAGGACGTGCAGACGGTGGCACGCAGCTCTTGGGGCCACCCCGCCCTCCTTGAGCAAGGGCTCAGCGCAGAGGGCACCGTCTTGCTCCCCTGCAGCGGACAGATGAGGTGGCCCTCAGGCCTGCAGTGGGCGTGGGCACGAGTGGACAGTGGACAGAAGCCCGGCCTGCAGAAGAGCGGGTAAAGGAGCAGTGGTAGAGGGCAGAGGCAGGTGCCTGACTGTATGAAAGCCGTTTCGAATGGAAATTTTATCTTTCTCTTGTCCCATTTTATTTGTAGTAGGAAAAGATTTCTTTCAAAGTGTCCGGGTAGCATTGGGAATTTCACACCCATCATTAGAACGATTTGTGTATGTGTGTGAGTGTGAGTGTGTGTGTGTGAGAGTGTGTGTGGTGACTATGTTATCATTAGTGGTATAATTTTATTTTGCGAAGAGAGAAGTGTTTCCTGTTTTATCACAGCTTTCCCCGAGGAGGGCTGGTGTATTAATTTGCTGTATTGCCTCCTGGCTGTTCCCAGGCTGTTTTTCCTCTTCATCATGGAATTTTTAATGGCCCTCGTGCCTCTTGGGAAGCATGTGAGGAAGAGGTCCTGAGGGAGCGCTTCCCTTTTTTCATGCCTATAATTACTCTCCTTTAAGAGCACAAAGAGTTTGATAATCATGCTGAACGACGAAGGGTCCCTCCTATCGGCTCACAGGGCTGAGCTGCTTCTCGCCTGGACACTGCCAATTACAGTCTCCCAAGCACCCCACTACACCTGACGGCTCCCGAGTGACCTCCTCTATTCCAGGGCAGGCCTAGGGGCCACTGGGGGCCGATGAGTGGCCTCAAGGCACTCTGCTGTTTAGTATGTTCATTGTTCGAAACAAATCAATGGTGGGACTTTACGTTTAAGCTAGCGCTATATTGATGTATTACTTATTTATTTTTGAGAGGTAGCGTTACAGACAGGGAGAGACAGAGAGAAAGGTCTTCCATCCGCGGTTCACCCCCTAAATGGCTGCAACATTTGGAGCTGGGCCAATCCAAAGCCAGGAGCCAGGAGCTTCCTCCAAGTCTCCCATGCAGATGCAGGGGCCCAAGCACTTGGGCCATCTTCTGCTTTCCCAGGCCATAGCTGAGAGCTGGATCGGAAGAAGAGCAGCCAGGATACGAACTGGCCCATATGGGATGCCAGCACCACAGGCGGAGGCTTAGCCTATTATGCCATAGCGCCAGCCCCCTTGATGTATTTAATATAACGCAGCCCAGATGGAAGGGGGAATTTGGTCTTTGCACCATTGATGAAGAGAATTTAGAAATACCACCCTAGAAATACTTAAGTGTCGGGGTTTTCAACCTTGCTGTTGCTTTGGAATCACTGGAGAAGCTTTAAAAAAAAAAAATCCATTCTGGGACCCCCCTCCAGAGATACTGATTTAATTAGACTGGGTGAGACCCAGGCATGGGCATGATTCTAGAGCAACCCATGTGACGAACACGCAACCAGGGTTAAGAACTAGTGGCTGAAATGCATATGGTTTCATGACTGATGCTTTGTGATTGCTTAACAGGGACTTCCGTTCCATGATTGGCATGAGCTCTGTGCCTTGCTGTTGTGTGCGTGGTGCCTGATGGGAGCTAGAACTCTGGACTCCTCATAGCGTTGCGGGACCTCCCACAGGT